AATGAATGAATCAACCGCTAACAAAATTGGGGAGCTCGCAGATTTTACGGTATCAATGTTCTGCGATGTGTGAATTAAACCACACCTAATCCCACACCCACCCTTTGCTAATCTGAACGCCCAAGCACCTCGTCGGACATCGCACACTAGTGATTTCAGTGGCCAGCGTGAATAGCAGGGGGCGACGCGTTGAGGGAAAAAGAAAGAACTGACCTCTAGCTGTTTCCGCGATTAGTCCAGTGTTGGAAATCATTCTGACGCGAAGTCATAATTGCGAGACCCTCGATTACCACATAGGGTGGAAAAATTACGGAAACAAAAGCAGGCAGCTCGCAATTTTTCTAAACACCACGATATTTATATTATATTTGTAGGTCTATGTAGGTGATAAGTCAGTGTTCAACCTTTGTCCTTTGCCGCACAAAATGTATCAGTTCTGAAATAGGATAGTCTTATCTCCTCTAAAAACAATCACTCAGTTAATCCAACAAATTGTTTGATTGTTTTACTTGCAAAACGATTCATTGTCTCTATGAAACTTCCGTTCAATGAAGTTCGACAGGTGATTTACCATCACACTAGACGGAGACGTGAGAGGATTGCCGTTGACTCTATGAGCAAAATCCAAAAATAAGTGCGAACAAGCGCTGGAATCAAGCTCCTTCAATCCGCTCATCAGTCGCTGAAATGACCCGTCGACCGCACTTCCTTGCGACGTATTGCTAGTACATAGTCCAGACGGGGAGGCTTCCCAAACCAATAAAAATTTCAACCTTATGTAGCTTCTGCGCTTTGCGAGCAATTGAAAAGCCTCAGTGAAAATGGGAACGGTGGTACTAACAAGGGAGGTCTTTCAGGTCGTGGAGCGCTTTTTCAAAACGGTTTTTTGCATCATATAGGGACATGTGTATGGAGTACAGAACTGTGCTCCATTTTTCCTGAACGGCCCTACAAGTACTAGAAAAAAAGCGAAGAATATTTTCGCCAGAAACTGCACTTCAAACAGCTTCAATGTGTTGGATATCACCCATGGCGCTGACGTTCAGCTAGCTGAAGGCTACTATCCATCTGGGGAAGCGAAACAATAACGAGTACGGTCAGCACTGGATGTTGACCACAACAAGTACAGTGAAGGCTGTGAACGTTTCATGGGCGCCGTCGAAAGCAAACGCTGGCAGCGATCGGATGGCCTAGTGGTTAGTGCGCCTGCCTGGCACTCGAACTGTTCAGTGGGGGTTTATGGTTCGGATCCCCGTGACGATGGGCTTTTTGCACCGTTACAACTCTCCTTTTCCTGAACCCGTTAATGGCTGCGCATAGATATTTTGCTGAGATATGCCATTTTCAAGAAGTTTTTCACGCAATTTTGCATGTTCTCTTCTGTAATCGCGTATTTTTCGTTAATTTCAAAACTTCCATTTATTACCTGCAAATGGCTAACAATTGTGGTAAAATTCAATGAAGCATGTGAAACATAGACGTCTGGTGCACCAACCGCACCGAACGAACGACAAAGATGAGCAGTTATTGTTTTCTTCGCAAGGAACCACGGCTTCTCCTTCGTCAAACGCGTAGTCGGCTGGAGTCGAAAATGGTCCGGGATGCTCATCAACGTACCCTGCGGCCACCCAAGCATACGCCATGCATGAAGGGACTCGCTATTCGAACTCTCTACAAATGGCTGCACCTGGATATCGGACTGTCCTTGCGATCTACTGGAAGTTTTGACCACATCACTATATAAGTCGTGGTGCAAGTCTGAACTATATCGACATGGCCTTCTCACCTGCCAGAGTCATTGCTCGCCTTCTTTCATCGTTCACTCCCGATTTCTCAACTCCTACCAGGAAAGAAATCGCGATTGCTGATGCCTTCAAAGGGCTTCTCCAAAGTGCCGCTTACGGTGACCTAGAGTGTGAAGAAGAGGACGAGGTACTCCAGGTTAGTTGTTTTCAAGACGTGAGCGATCGCTGGATAGACTGAAGAGCACTACTCCTCTACGCTTGGCTGGTTTCAGCTCTCTCTTGACGAAAGGGTTGACGTCAATTGGACTCCTAACGATGATGATGACAGCGCCAGTAGCAGGAGCTCATGTACCGAACAGAAATGCGTTTTTTTCGATGGCAGACCGATTCCTGAAGATATCGTTAGTTGAAACACATAATAATTTATGCTTGTGGCGGTATGTCTGGTTTTCACAGATGAAACGCGCCGTCGACTTTTATCGAGAAACTGACAAGGGTACTCGTTGTCTATCATCTATGTCAAGCCGTTTCACCTGGATCAAGACCGCGCATCATATGAACGTGTTGCGAGAATTTGAGAAGCGAAGTAATTGGCATCGTTATCACTTCAAAAGCGAATGAGTATGCTTTCCCAGTTTTGCAAGTTTTTTTTCAGTGCAAGTCGAGAGAGACAAAGGTAGAGAAATTCAAGAGGCTTTCCGCTCTGCTCCGTGAAAATGTTCTGGAGGCGACCGAGCGAGGTAGGTCCCGATTATGTCAATGTTGAATTCCCAAAGACAATTGTCGATGGCTTCGGTAAGGTACAAGCTGACATTGGACTTCCAGCACTTTCCACTATCCTATGCCACAATACGTCAGATGGCCGTAAGGCTGAATTTCGAGCACAACCTCATTGATGGATTCAAGGCGTCAAAGTCGTGGATCGCCAATTTTGTGCGCGAAAGTGGTTTGAGGTCTAGGAAGGTGACACGCTTCGTTACAACAAGGAGTCTTCGTAGTAGAGGAGACGTGGAAAAGGAGGCGGATGGCTTCGTGAGGCGTGTCAGAGAAGAAATGAAGAAGTATCCCTTATCCCTATTTGCTAATGCCGATCAGACTGGGATAAACAAGGAATTGGCCTCAAAGAGGTACGTTTTGTGGGCAATTTGGATAGAGGGCCATTTGTGTCAAGGATACTTCTTTGCAGAACTCTTGCTCCAGTTGGCTCTAAACAAGTGATGAGAGTGGTGCAGTCTGTCTCCTCGCTAACACACTCTTTCACGGCCATGCCCGTCATATACGGTGACGGTCGACTGGGCGACAAGCTCCTTGTGATACTTCCCGAAAAAGGAGGAGTCTTACCCCAAAGTGGGCACTGGCAGGCACCAAACCTGTCGGTGTTAGCTGGTAAGACGCACATAATGACGAAGTCGCAGATTCCCCACTTCGTTAGAGAGTGCGTGGTTGGGTCTTCCTCCCCTCCACTGACCATACTCCTTGTCGATAGTTGGGCTGGCTTCAAGGACCATGCCAATGTGTTGTCAGAGGTGCCACCAGGGAAAGATCTTCGGTTGATGACCATACCTGCTGGTGCGACTGCCCTCTGTCAACCATTGGATGTCTTCTTTTTCCGTTTGTTCAAGCGATACATTCGTCGCATCCACGACTATTTGGCGCACCAAAATAATGACTTTGACGTCTTTCGCCGAGACAACATTCTCAAAGTAAGACTTTATGGCTAGTGGTGAGAACAGAACCCTGATAATTTCATTCTTGTGTAGGTCATTAGCCAGACGTACAGACAGTTCTGTGCACCACTGTTCCGTCCGTGCATGGCGTATGCTTGGGTGGCCGCAGGGTACGTTGATGAGCATCCCGGACCATTTTCGACTCCAGCCGACTACGCGTTTGACGAAGGAGAAGCCGTGGTTCCTTGCGAAGAAAACAATAACTGCTCATCTTTGTCGTTCGTTCGGTGCGGTTGGTGCACCAGACGTCTATGTTTCACATGCTTCATTGAATTTTACCACAATTGTTAGCCATTTGCAGGTAATAAATGGAAGTTTTGAAATTAACGAAAAATACGCGATTACAGAAGAGAACATGCAAAATTGCGTGAAAAACTTCTTGAAAATGGCATATCTCAGCAAAATATCTATGCGCAGCCATTAACGGGTTCAGGAAAAGGAGAGTTGTAACGGTGCAAAAAGCCCATCGTCACGGGGATCCGAACCATAAACCCCCACTGAACAGTTCGAGTGCCAGGCAGGCGCACTAACCACTAGGCCATCCGATCGCTGCCAGCGTTTGCTTTCGACGGCGCCCATGAAACGTTCACAGCCTTCACTGTACTTGTTGTGGTCAACATCCAGTGCTGACCGTACTCGTTATTGTTTCGCTTCCCCAGATGGATAGTAGCCTTCAGCTAGCTGAACGTCAGCGCCATGGGTGATATCCAACACATTGAAGCTGTTTGAAGTGCAGTTTCTGGCGAAAATATTCTTCGCTTTTTTTCTAGTACTTGTAGGGCCGTTCAGGAAAAATGGAGCACAGTTCTGTACTCCATACACATGTCCCTATATGATGCAAAAAACCGTTTTGAAAAAGCGCTCCACGACCTGAAAGACCTCCCTTGTTAAAGCGATTCCGTGAACCCCTCAATATGTTCCCAGAGGCGGCAACATAGTCCACTGACACCAAACTCCCAATCAAATGCTCTGCACTGAGAGAGCCGGAGAAAACCACGGCTATACTCATGATCAGGGCATCAATTTACTCGGCAGTCACTCTAGCCATAGATCTGCTCGACAACTACATAACAGGGAGGATGAGCTTCAATGAAGGCTCCTTCATTTATTACCCAGAAATCGGGAACACCAAGGAGTGATATTAGTTTCTGTTCAATAACCTTCACAATTGTGTTGGCGTTGTTATCTCATATATTTTGCGCAATGTTGGTTTTGTGTGATTTACCCTGCTACCATATTTTTTCATTATGTATAAGTCAACCTTTTTGTCCAACCCTTCCACTAGGTCTGACTTCACAAACAAGCGAAAACAGCTTATGTAAAGTATGCGCAGAGGAAGCGAGATCGCGGAGGCTACCGGAGGACAAAACTGGTTACACAAAGTGCATCGCTTAACAAAGGAGTCAGTTTTTGAATCGTGAGAAATTGTACATATGAGAATATCTTATCTATAAGAGAAAAAAATGGAAGGTCTAGACACATGCAAACGTGCACAGATAAATATACTGAGTAAAACCACAAGGAAATGCTATACCTGCTTGCATACTTCGCAGTCCTTTTTTAGGCGTATACTTCGCCTGACCCCTTCAAGCGCCCGCTTGGGCGCCACCAGATGCTCATTTGTCTTCTCCAGAATGCGGCCTATTACGGCTTCCGGTGACACCACAGGCTGGAAATAGTTGTATAATGAATCCATTTTAACCAATACGTGGTTAATCACTACTGAAATGATATACCCTGAGGAGGACTAGTTTCGGTAAAAACTGAGAAATTATGTCTTACCTTCGGCATTGCCATGCTGTGCTCGTTTAGTTCTCCATTTGTGGTTAGATAAAATGTAGAATTTGGAGTGGCAAGAGGAGTTTCAGTGTCATCTTGCACCTGAAGCACAGCGATGCCAACTATCACTAGTGCGAAACCGGTTACGAAGTTCTAACAAAATTTCTGATGTTGTAGAGTCTGGACCTTGCTTTTGAGCTCCCCTTCTCTAGAAATTCTGCCTCCCAAGACGTTTCGCACAATCAGTGCGCCTTGTATGCATGCTGATTGAATTACAATACCTCGACAATTCTCTTTCTTTTTCTAAATGTGACGGACCTTTTTGATATCAACACCATTCAATTCGCTATCTCCCCTAGCTCGTTCATCTCCACTCAGTGTTGATGAGCTGTCATCCCCGACGGGTCCAAGCAGTTCTTCGATAAGGTTTTGAGCAGAATGCGAGGTTGACGGAGCACTCGTCAATGGCGGAGTCTCAGACGACATCGAAATGATGCCCTTAAATAAAAAATTTGACTATAAAGAACTTTATATACTTTACCCGAGCATTTTATTCAGCATTACCTATCGGACCCATAAAATTAGCCCCTACACGACTTCCTCGCCAGTTTTTACTCAATATTTAAATCTGCATTCGGAGCTAAGTGAGAAACAGATGAGCAACAGGTCAGCGTTACTATTCTAATTGAAAGTACTCAGCCGCAGCGTTCCAAGCGGTACTCATCACAATTTCTGCACAATTGCAACCAACGCATTTTGAAGCTACTACAGTTGTAGACAAAGCAAGAATGCACAACACATCTCAAAGTGAAATTGATCAAGATCATGCCATTATCCTTTACTATTTGAACAACTTACGTGAACAACGCCATCCTCCTTCAATCCTCTGACACTTCTTAGGCGTGCCGCCTGCAGAACTTGCATCCACTCATCACGAACACGATTAGAAGAACACTCCAGTAAGAAATTGTCGTTACCAGACCTATTTAAATGGGAAAAAAAACACTATCAGTTATTACAGAAGGCAGAAATCTGATGCTATTGCTTGAAAAATGAAACAATGAGTGACGGATTTTTAGCACTGGAGATGCTTGGAACAGATATGGGCTCAAGTGTAGTTGAAGGAGGGGGCATCGTGCCGCGGAGCACTCAAGTCTCTCACAATTACAACTAACACTTCCATTTTATAATGATAATTCCCAAGCCTTTTTTCACAAACAAAATGTTTCACGTACCCTGAAGCCCCCTGCCCTGCAAAGAATTGGATGATGCCCCTCCCCCTTCCCCAGCCAATACACCCAAATATGAAGAAAGGTGCTGATGAAATTAGCACTTGAGCAAAAAATCTTTTCAAGTTGTTCCCTCTTTCGGATGAAAAGGTCAAAAAAATGTCCATAGAAAGAGCAACGGGTCAAGGCAAAGAAAAATATTGAAGATTCCAAGAACAAAATTGAATAAATTAACTTTGTGCCAAAACCACTCCACAGTAGTGAAAACCGTCGTGTCTCACGCGGGTCATAAGCAAACGGCCAGTGGGCATGCTAATGGTATACGTCCATCACATTTGAGCGAATCATGATCCTTGTACCAGTAAAAATAAGGCGAAACGTTGTCAACAACGTACCAATAACGACGACGATTGATCAGACCCATTGCTCTTATTTCGATCTTAAAAAAAAGCGTCACATAGGTTAGGGACACCACAAAAAAAAGCGTGGGAAAGGCCAGCAGCGACTAAATTATGTTTAGGCTGCCATCTCGCTCTCTTACAATTTAAAGCCATTGTTGAAATCGGAATGGGAGTTAAGACCAACCGCCTGACTGTTTCTTTCATACGTTGTGATTGAGGACAAGGCCTTTCCACAATGGAGGGGACACTTGAGTCGAGTTCGATTACTATTCGCCGGCTCGTCGTTGCAAGCGCTTTCAAAGTTTGAATGTCTTAGATTACGTAATGGGACTATGCGATTCTTACGACGCGGTGATAGTTACAGGTGTCCATTACCCCTTAAAGTCTGATTTGGGGCGTGGGCGTTATGGAATTCGATGGGCGAAGCTATGCCGCCGCCAGCTTGAGAGAAGTTGCGCGGCGGATTAAGTATTTGCCATCATGGCTTTTGCTATAATCCAGCGGAAAAAATTTGGTTTAGAGGCAAAAGTCATCCCACACAACAAATTCTAGTATGCGCGGAACAACCGTCACGGCAAAAGGTCTGCAGTTCTCTATACACACGTGGCCAATCACCCCACTATCGGGAGATATGGACTGCACGGTGTTTTCGATTTACGAAAGTTCTTTACTCGCACGCAAAATCGCCACGGAATCGCAAATCGCAAAAGGGGCCCGGCCTTTAGAGATAAAGTGGGAGTGGATCAGTAAACGCGAATACAACCACCGCTATCATATTTAAATTACGCCGATTTTCTGTATGTGAAGACACTAAAATACTACCTCAATCAGGCATAGACGGGACTTAAATCACAATCATTTGTCGCAAAGTGGTGGGGTGGAAAACGAGGGGAGGACAAAGATCGGCGAAAAATCAAACATGATACAAAATACATGTTTGTGCTTTTTTGTGTGAATAACCCGTTCTCAACAGCGACAATCTTATCAATTCAAATAAGCCAAAGCTGACTATTCAAGGGCTAACCTTCTTTATAAACAGACATCTTCTTAATTCTGCTAAACTAGGTTGGGGCGGGCGGCACGCGCGGCGCGACCGGAGCTCTCTCTTCGAGGCCGAATCAGGGTGTAGCACTTCGGGGAAACATTTCCAAGGCGCTTTTCCACGCATGGGGCTCAAGTGGAACTTGCCCATTCCCACCTTAGACTGCTACACTTCCCTGGCCCACGGATTTCCAGAAACACTTGGCCAGGGCGAAAAACGACTGGCGGGGCCGGCCGCGTGCCCCCCCCCCCACTAAGTTAGCACCTTCTCAATTAACCTTGAAGTGAAGCCCACAGCTTGAAAATAAGATAAGGGAAAACTTCCAGGGTACTACTTCACCTACAATATTAGCAAGGTCCTTCCCTTCCTTCCACTATACATCTTCTTAAAACTTCCTTTAGGGGTGATGTCAAAGTCGCAGATACTGTTTGCCGCGAATTTCGCCGACTTGCGCGATTTGAAAGCGGATTTTCGGAACGGTTTGCCCCATCCATACTGCAAAGGGTTTCTCCACAAAATCCCCGCCGTCACTTCTCGCTTGATGGATTATGGTGTATGGGGAGGACTTGCCTCATGATTTTTCCAACTTTTCATATCCAGTGTTTCAATTGTTCAAATGGGGCACTTGCAATTTTTGTGATTGGTTTGGTTTGATTCCTGAAAAAAAACAAAAGGAACGATTCAAGAGCATTTCAATGAACTAATAGACATTGAACATGAAACAAGTAGAACCACAAACATTCGTCTTCCAATCTTTACTGCCAAGCAGAATTCGCAGCCAGGATTAAACAACACCTCGCAGTATTCATCGGGCACTTCCAAACACTTGTGATCCATCGCAGGTTTCGCGAAAATATTGCTGAGAATTTCGTTGGGCCAAATCCGCCAATCGCTGAAAAAAAATTCGCGAAAAATCGTGCAAAGGATCGCGGACTCTGACATCAGCCCTACTCTACGAGTGGACTTACTAAGTGGTGAGGGGGGGGGGTAGGGAATAGAAGATAAATAAAAATAGAATTTATACAATATAGGGAAAAGAAAAACCTCCCCAAAAAGAGCTCTTAACGCAATCCACCACCCTCATCCAATGAGCAAATACGACCCCATCGCAGCGTGACCCACGTGTTGAGGGAATTTGAATGTTAAGATTCCCCGCTCGATTCCACGATCCACCTCCGTCATCAGGCTGTCTCACATCATTCCCCTCTTCGTATCATCATCGTATCCGCTCCACCCGATACGATCCCCTTCTCTACGCAAACTCTTTCAGCACCACGTTTCATATGTCAGGCCTCATCCTGGCCGTCCTCGAAGTTACTACGACGATGAGCAAATAAACGTCAAGATCGCCCGAGACGCTCAACCAAGGGTCATGGTGATGCTTCAACATAATTTCATCCCCGAGCAGTGCTCGAGGTGGGATTAAAAAGAAATTCCAACTTACCAGAGACATATATCCAGCCTTACATGTGTTCTCGTCACTCTGGGGCGAACATACTGGTGATGAGGTGGACGACGATGACATTGCCCAGAGTAAGTCGTCCGCAAGCTTACTATAATATTCCATAAGTTAGACTTGTAAACTTGCAAACAACATCATAAGAGAGAAAAAGAACATAAAATAACACAAGTCTGAAAAAATACTTCATTTTGTACCAGGGGAGCACGTTGACTTGGAAAAAACTTAGTAATATCAACAACTATACAAACCATACAACACTATTCAAGCAGCAAGTGATTACAAGAACTCACAAGTATACAAAGCAAATTTCTCAGTCACTTGTTAACTGATGAAGAAACTGCGAACTACAGAATGGCGGGAAACATGACAGTAGGCGAAATCGAAAAGTAATGTAACGGATGAAAGGATGACGCGGGTCTTTATCTACAGAAGGATCTTAAATATATCACAACAAGGGAGAAGAATAAAATGGAACGAAGAGATTTCTTCGAACCCTGTTGGTCGGGGTTTTTAAAAACATGGAATATTTGCTTGCAACATGACCTTGAACGGAAGGCAATGGGTTTGGAGGAGTGCTGTTACATAATTCCACCACGTCCATGCAAGAAAATACTGAGCACTAAGTCAGAACCGATAAATATCAAACATTTGAATTCGTCGTCGACATCACGGCCCAAGCAGGCGAACTCAAAGGAAAAACGTGCTCCAATTCGAGTTCATGACCCACTGCACACTGAGGTAACACACTGATACTTCTTCGCGCAGATGCAAGACAACTCTACATTTATGTGGTTCTCTAATGAGGTAGGAATGTTAAAATATTGGTTGAGCTGAATGGCTTGCATGTTGCGAAACAACACGGCGAAGCTAATCTACTAAATCCACGCCGGACGAAACGGGGACGAGTTTCTGGACGAGTTTTTCGCCGCGCT